CTACAACACTATGTGTTGGGGGTATTATAAGTTTGATTGGGCCAAAAATTATGTAACACCACGAAATATTGATTTCCCACATAGGAAAGTATATATGGATCTTCCTATCTCGCCGAGCTGAGTCGATCTAGCTATGTATGTCCGTCCGTCCGTCTGTCCGTCTGTCCATGTTAATTTGTAATCACTCTACAGGTCGCAATTATGGTCCGATCTTCACGAAATTTAAAATGGAGGTGGGGCTAGGGTCAGAATAGAACCCTATTTCTTTTGATGATGATCGCATAATAATTAGGGGTTGAAATGGACCAAAAACTGAAAAAATTCCTGATTTTGCACTTGCTCTATAGGTCGCAATTATAGACCAATCGATGCGGAATTTCGCATGTAGCTAGAGTTTAGGGCTGGCAAGAAGCCTACCCATTTGGGTGGTCATCGGATAATATTTAGCGGGTAAAATAGACCATATTTTTTTTGTTGAAAAAATTCAAAATTTTTCATTAAACCGCGAATATTTTAAATCCCGGCGAAATCACAAAGCCATGACAAGGTTACTTCTGATCTTTACATTGATGTTAACATCCAACAAATCGGATATATAGCAAAATATGTGCGATATATATGTCTATCAAAGAAGATATGCTTGAAAAATCTCTTATATGTCGAGAACGGCTGAACTGATTTCAACAGTTCTCATTAATTCAGACTGGCCTCTTGGCAGGAAACATAAAACGTCTAAAAAAATCGCATAAAAATATCTCTCTAAAGATGAAAATATTGATTTTGTAAAATTTTCTCATATTTTTTCAATTTTGTCATATTTTTGGCATATTTTAATTTTGAATTAAACATTTGGTAATATTTCTACAGCTAACAAAACTAAGTAGTTAAGATATCAGGATATCATATACAGATCGCATTTATGGCCCGATCCTTACGAAATTTAGCATGGAGATAAGGTGAGGGTCAGAATAAAAGCCTATTCTTTTTGGAGATGATCGCCATATATTTAGGGGTTGAAATGGACCAAAAAACTGCAAAATTGTCAGCAGGTCGTAATTGTGGGGGTTACCGGACATTGCAAGAGCCAAGCAGTTTTGGATGGCCATCCAAAAATATTCAATGTGTGAAGGAGTTTGCCAACTTTTATAGACAAAATACGAAAATGTCCATTCCAGTGACTTTTTGGAGAATTCACAAATACAGGAAAGACACACTTCTGACTATTTCGTTAACGCTGATTTCGTTACAGAATATAGTCAAATGTCTGTATCTCATATAGATGCGTTTCAGTCAAAAACCAATAATAAATGTTAATCTTTTGCCACTTCTGAGAGATTATAGGTCTTTGGGAAATATTGGTTCCAGATCTTGGAAGACCATTTAAGTGCAACATCTTCCAATAAATTGGAAATGAGCAAATTAGTTTAAGTTGCTATTATTCAAAAATTAGAGAACGAAACCTGATGGTTTTCTTTTATTATTTGTCACAATATCTTGTGGAATTCTTTCGAGTATCTCGCCTATATAAGCTGTATCGTTTATTATAGTGTTGTAGGGTATTCAACGGTCGGCCCCGCTCGACTGTAGCCTTTGCTTACTTGTTTTTTTTTATTTTTGTGCCCTGTTACGACTTTGGCGAAAGCCACGCCAACACATTCCCTTTGGAGCTCATTAAAAAATATCAAATACCACTGGTTTTGTGGTTGCGATTTTTTTTCATGCCATTAAAAAACTGTTGACATTTGAGACAGATTGGCTGCAGTGCAGAAAGTAATAAACTATTGTAGGTGGTTTTTGGTTGCTATCATTTATGAGTAGAAGAAGAGCAATATAGTCGATCTGGAGAGAGTGTCTTTAACTAACAGAGGAGATCCTTATAGCTGTCTAGCTAAGGATCGTTTAAAAGACGAAGATCGTTCATATAGACGAGCTAAAGGTCGTCTTCCATAGACGAGCTAAATATCGTCTCTATAAACGGAGCTAAAGGTCTCTTTAGACGAGCTAAAAAGGTCGTCTCTAAAGATGAGCTATAATGGTCGTCTCTATAGACGAGGTAAAGGTCGTCTTTATAGAGGAGCTGTGAAGGTCGTCTTTATAGACGTACTGTGAACCCTATAGACGGGCTATAATGGTCGTCTCTATAGACGAGCTATAAAGGTCGTCTCTATAGACGAGCTATAAAGGTCTCTCTATAGACGAGCTATAAAGGTCTTCTCTATAGACGAGCTATAAAGGCCGTCTCTATAGACGAGCTATAAAGGCCGTCTCTATAGACGAGCTATAAAGGTCGTCTCTGTAGACGAGCTAAGGGTCGTCTCTATACGCGAGCTAAAGGTCGGCTATATAGATGAGCTATAAAGGTCGTCTCTATAGACGAGCTAAAAAGGCCGTATCTATAGACGAGCTAAAATGGTCGTCTCTATATACGAGCTAAAAAGGTCGTCTTTATAGACCAGCTGTGAAGGTAGTCTTTATAGACGGGCTATAAAGGTCGTCTCTATAGACGAGCTACAAAGGTCGTCTCTATAGATGAGCTATAAAGGTCGTCTCTATAGACGCGCTATAAAGGTCGTCTCTATAGACGAGCTATAGAGGTCGTCTCTATAGACGAGCTATAGAGGTCGTCTCTATAGACGAGCTATAAAGGTCGCCTCTATAGACGAGCTATAAAGGTCGTCTCTATAGACGAGCTATAAAGGTCGCCTCTATAGACGAGCTATAAAGGTCGTCTCTGTAGACGAGCTAAGGGTCGTCTCTATAGACGAGCTAAGGGTCGTCTCTATAGACGAGCTAAGGGTCGTCTCTATAGACGAGCTAAGGGTCGTCTCTATAGACGAGCCTGTAGACCAAGAAGTCTTCATAGACAAGTTGCTGCCCAATGAGTCTTCATAGACGAGTTGGTGCCCAATGAGTTTTCATAGACGAGTTGGTGCCCAACGAGTCTTCATAGACGAGTTGGTGCCCAATGAGTCTTCATAGACGAGTTGGTGCCCAATGAGTCTTCATAGACGAGTTGGTGCCCAATGAGTTTTCATAGACGAGTTGCTGCCCAATGAGTTTTCATAGACGAGTTGCTGCCCAATGAGTCTTCATAGACGAGTTGGTGCCAAATGAGTCCCCATAGACGAGTTGGTGGCCAAGGAGTCTCCATAGACGAGTTGGTGGCCAAGGAGTCTCCATAGACGAGTTGGTGGCCAAGGAGTCTCCATAGACGAGTTGGTGGCCAAGGAGTCTCCATAGACGAGTTGGTGGCCTAGGAGTCTTCGTAGACGAGTTGGTGGCCTAGGAGTCTCCATAGACGAGTTGGTGGCCTAGGAGTCTTCGTAGACGAGTTGGTGGCCTAGGAGACTTCGTAGACGAGTTGGTGGCCTAGGAGTCTTCGTAGACGAGTTGGTGGCCTAGGAGTCTTCGTAGACGAGTTGCTGCCCAAGGAGTCTCCATAGACGAGTTGCTGCCCAAGGAGTCTCCATAGACGAGTTGCTGCCCAAGGAGTCTCCATAGACGAGTTGGTGTCCAATGAGTCTCCATAGACGAGTTGGTGGCCAAGGAGTCTCCAAAGACGAGTTGGTGCCCAGTGAGTCTTCATGGACGATTTGCTGGCCAAGGAGTCTTCATAGACGAGTTGCTGTCCAAGGAGTCTTCATAGACGAGTTGCTGCCCAAGGAGTCTTCATAGACGAGTTGCTGCCCAAGGAGTCTTCATAGACGAGTTGCTGCCCAAGGAGTCTTCATAGACGAGTTGCTGCCCAATGAGTCTTCATAGGCGAGTTGTTGTCCAAGGAGTCTTCATAGACGAGTTGGTGGCCAATGAGTCTTCATAGACGAATTGCTGCCCAATGAATCTTCATAGACGAGTTGCTGCCCAATGAGTCTTCATAGGCGAGTTGTTGTCCAATGAGTCTTCATAGGCCAGTTGTTGTCCAATGAGTCTTCATAGGCGAGTTGTTGCCCAATGAGTCTTCATAGGCGAGCACAGACATAGGTTATTTAAATGACGAGGATAAATCCATAGACGAACTAGCACATCTACCTTCAGATCGTTGCACACCTGCTCCCTGCCCCTCCTGCTTCCTTGCCTTCTAGGCTCAACTCTATGTCCTACCATTCCACTCGTCTCTGAGTCCTCGTCCGTGTAGATTCTCCCGTCAGCACAGACTTACTCGCCCTCCAGTTAATCTGAACAGACCAGAGAACAAATTTGCAAATATTTTCTTGGGAGTGGAACCTGGCTTGGCATATCTCCTTAACTTTTCGGCCCGACTCCCTTGCCCTTTAATTTATCATCAATGATTCTCTGGCAGCGTGTTACCCTATGTAGACTACCAAGCCTTTCTTCTCTACTATATACCCCCTTAAATTTTCCTGACAACAAAAAAGGAAGTTTTTCCTTATCCTTTTGTTGTGTTATTTATTCCTGTATTTCCAACTAACTTCAATTCCAAACTAAATCCTCCAATGAATCATATACATTATTCTTTTAGTTAACTTTTAAAGAGAAACATAAATATTTAAGAAGATTATTGACAGAAATGGCGACTTTCATCTGAAGTTCATTCGGTGTTATGTTTTTTTTTTTTGAGAGAGAGAGAGAAGGTTTCATTATAACTTTATCTTTTGAGTTAGGTCATTGTGTAAATATAAAGGCGACTATTCGAGGTATCGTTCGCAATTGAAATGAATAATTTATTAAGCTGGATAACATTTTGTAATTTTTTTTTTGGTTTGTGATATTGGCCCTGTGGAAGAATTATGCAAAAGAAGGAATAAACAATTTACCTTTTCTTTGCTTTATTCAATTTCTTCACACACCAGAAGTACGAAATGGATTATCTTCTCTTTTGCAAGGACTTTGAAGTAATTCTTTGTGTAATTTTATTTGTGCATACTTTTGTGTTTTGCATTTCATGTTTTGTCGCTACATGTGTCTCCTCTTTGTGCACTGCCATAATACATTGTTGTTTATTTGCGAGTCTATTTTTTTATTCTTCTTTGTACTTGCAGTGACATTTCCTTCATATTGCCATGGTGGCGCCAGGTCCTGTGGAGCATCCTGTACGGTGTTATGGTCATTGTGGCGACTGGTGGCAACTTAATCGTTGTATGGATTGTCATAACAACAAAACGGATGAGAACTGTAACCAATTACTTTATAGGTAAGTTATTTGAATGTGTGTGTGTGTGTGGGTTGGGGGGATGCGAGTAGTTCATCAAATTTTCAATCTTGTATTTCAGGCAATTTAGATATGTATGTCATATTCCTGGTAAATATTCGTTACTTTTTCGTTTGAACTTTCTGTCACCCTCAAGTTTCTAATTGCTTTAGGAATTTATGGATAATTGTTTTCCTCTCTCTCTCCCCCTCTTTTTCTAATGTTTCTAAATTCAACTCAATGGATATCTTTTGTGGTATATCCTTTGAACTTGTTTTTTTTTTCTTCGATTTGACCATCAATCATCAATTGTTGTCGTTCAAACTTATACGGAAAATCTATTTTTATTATTTCGTTTACATTTTCTTTGACTATATTCTAAATTTTCAAAGGGAAGACTGTTTTCGTGGGATTAATAGAGCCAGCAATGTGGATTTTTTAAACAATATTTTCACAGGACTCTCAAAGCCACAAACGTGGATTTTTTAAACAATATTTTCACAGGACTCTCATAGCCATAAAAGTGGATTTTTATACCCTACAACACTATGTGTTGGGGGTATTATAAGTTTGATTGGGCCAAAAATTATGTAACACCACGAAATATTGATTTCCCACATAGGAAAGTATATATGGATCTTCCTATCTCGCCGAGCTGAGTCGATCTAGCTATGTATGTCCGTCCGTCCGTCTGTCCGTCTGTCCGTCTGTCCATGTTAATTTGTAATCACTCTACAGGTCGCAATTATGGTCCGATCTTCACGAAATTTAAAATGGAGGTGGGGCTAGGGTCAGAATAGAACCCTATTTCTTTTGATGATGATCGCATAATAATTAGGGGTTGAAATGGACCAAAAACTGAAAAAATTCCTGATTTTGCACTTGCTCTATAGGTCGCAATTATAGACCAATCGATGCGGAATTTCGCATGTAGCTAGAGTTTAGGGCTGGCAAGAAGCCTACCCATTTGGGTGGTCATCGGATAATATTTAGCGGGTAAAATAGACCATATCTTTTTTGTTGAAAAATTCAAAATTTTTCATTAAACCGCGAATATTTTAAATCCCGGCGAAATCACAAAGCCATGACAAGGTTACTTCTGATCTTTACATTGATGTTAACATCCAACAAATCGGATATATAGCAAAATATGTGCGATATATATGTCTATCAAAGAAGATATGCTTGAAAAATCTCTTATATGTCGAGAACGGCTGAACTGATTTCAACAGTTCTCATTAATTCAGAATGGCCTCTTGGCAGGAAACATAAAACGTCTAAAAAAATCGCATAAAAATATCTCTCTAAAGATGAAAATATTGATTTTGTAAAATTTTCTCATATTTTTTCAATTTTGTCATATTTTTGGCATATTTTAATTTTGAATTAAACATTTGGTAATATTTCTACAGCTAACAAAACTAAGTAGTTAAGATATCAGGATATCATATACAGATCGCATTTATGGCCCGATCCTTACGAAATTTAGCATGGAGATAAGATGAGGGTCAGAATAAAAGCCTATTCTTTTTGGAGATGATCGCCATATATTTAGGGGTTGAAATGGACCAAAAAACTGCAAAATTGTCAGCAGGTCGTAATTGTGGGGGTTACCGGACATTGCAAGAGCCAAGCAGTTTTGGATGGCCATCCAAAAATATTCAATGTGTGAAGGAGTTTGCCAACTTTTATAGACAAAATACGAAAATGTCCATTCCAGTGACTTTTTGGAGAATTCACAAATACAGGAAAGACACACTTCTGACTATTTCGTTAACGCTGATTTCGTTACAGAATATAGTCAAATGTCTGTATCTCATATAGATGCGTTTCAGTCAAAAACCAATAATAAATGTTAATCTTTTGCCACTTCTGAGAGATTATAGGTCTTTGGGAAATATTGGTTCCAGATCTTGGAAGACCATTTAAGTGCAACATCTTCCAATAAATTGGAAATGAGCAAATTAGTTTAAGTTGCTATTATTCAAAAATTAGAGAACGAAACCTGATGGTTTTCTTTTATTATTTGTCACAATATCTTGTGGAATTCTTTCGAGTATCTCGCCTATATAAGCTGTATCGTTTATTATAGTGTTGTAGGGTATTCAACGGTCGGCCCCGCTCGGCTGTAGCCTTTGCTTACTTGTTAAAGAATATTTTCACAAGACTCTCAAAGCCCTAAATGTGGATTTTTTAAAGAATATTTTCATAAACGTGGATTTGTTAAAGAATATTTTCACAGGACTCTCAAAGCCATAAACGTGGATTTTTTTAACGAATATTTACACAGGACTCTCAAAGCCATGAACGTGGATTTTTAAAGAATATTTTCACAGGACTCTCAAAACCATAAACGCGGATTTTTTAAAGAACATTTTCACAGGACTCTCGTAGCTATAAACGGGTATTTTTTAAAGAATATTTTCACAGGACTCTCAAAGCCATAAGCGTGGATTTTTGAAAGAATATTTTCACACGACCCTCAAAGCCATAAACGTGGATTTTTTAAAGAATATTTTCACACGACCCTCAAAGCCATAAACGTGGATTTTTGAAAGAATATTTTCACACGACCCCCAAAGCCATAAACGTGGATTTTTTAAAGAATATTTTCACAGGACTCTCAAAGCCATAAACGTGGATTTTTTAAAGAATATTTTCACAGGACTCTCAAAGCCATAAACGTGGATTTTTTTAAACAATATTTTCACAGGACTCTCAAAGCCATAAACATGGAATTTTATAGAAAACTTTCATATGGCTCTCAAAGCCAAAAAGGTGGATTTTTTATAGAAAACTTTCGTATAACTCTCAAAGCCAAAAACGTGGATTTTTTAAATAATATTTTCACAGGACTCTCAAAACCATAAACGTGGATTTTTTAAAGAATATTTTCACAGGACTCTTAAAGCCAATAAGTTGGATTTTTTAAAAAATATTTTCACAGGACTCTCAAAGCCATAAACGTCGATTTTTAAAGAATATTTACAAAGACCTATCAAGGGCATCAATGTGGAATTTTTAAAGAATATTTTCACTGGACTTTCAAAGTTATAAACGTGGATTTTTTAAAGAATATTTTTACAGGACTCTCAAAGCCATAAACGTGGATTTTTTAAAGAATATTTTCACTGGACTTTGAAAGCCATAAACGAGGATTTTTTAAGGCCATTAACTCTCTCAAGGCCATTAACGAGGATTTTTTAAAGAATATTTTCACTGGCATCTCAAAGCCTTAAACGTTGATTTTTTTAAAGAATATTTTCACAGGACTCTTAAAACCATAAACGTGGATATTTTAAGGAATATTTTCACAGGACTCTTAAAGCCATAAACGTGGATTTTTAAACAATATTTTCACAGGACTCTCAAATCCATAAACGTGGAATTTTAAACAATATTTTCACAGGACTCTCAAAGCCATAAACATGGATTTTATAAACAATATTTTCACAAGACTCTCAAAGCCATAAACGTGGATTTTTTAGAAAACATTTTCACAGGACTCTCAAAGCCATAAACGTGGATTTTTTAGAAAACATTTTCACAGGACTCTCAAAGCCATAAACGTGGATTTTTTAAATAATATTTTTAAAGACCTGTTTAGGGCATCGACGTGGATTTTTTAAAAAATATTTTCACAGGACTCTTAAAGCGATAAATGTGGATTTTTTAAAGAATATTTTCACAGGACTCTTAAAGCGATAAACGTGGATTTTTTAAAGAATATTTTCAAAGGACTCTCAAAGTCATAAACTTTTCACAGGACTCTAAAAATTTTTTCACTGGACTCCTAAAGCCATAAACTTGGATTTTTTCAAAAATATTTTTACAGAACACTCAAAGCCATAAATGTGGATTTTTTTCGAAAATAGGAATATTTGTCAAGGACTTGAATTTTTAAAGAAATTTTCACGAATATTTGTCAAGGACGAGGATTTTTTAAGAAAAAAATTTCACGTTTAATTTCAGGAATATATTTCAAGGACGTGGATTTTGAAAGAAATTTTTCACGAATATTTATCAAGGACTAGGATTTTTTAAGAATATTTTCAGGAATGTTTGTCATGGACGTGGATTTTATTATATTTTTCAGGAGTATTTATCAAGGACCAACAAAGTAGATTTTTAAGAACATTTTTATAGGAACAAAGCAACATGGATGGCTTTTTGAGCATATTTTCGAAAAACATCAATGTGGATATTTTTATAATATTTTTCAAGGATCGCCAATAACGAGTTTTGGTTTTTTTTTAAAGATCAACGTGGATTTTAGCACACATTTTAAGGACCATTTTCAAAGACAATAAACGTTGTTCCTTAGAAATCTTTTTCCAGGATCGATGTAGATTTTTAGGAATATTTCACAGCCGAGCTATATACGTGGATTTTATAGGAATATTTTTAAAGGATTTGGAACAATCAACCTGAATTTTTTGACATTTTTTCAAAGGAACAGTAACGTGCTTTATTTATAAAAATGTCAAGTATAAATAACTTTCTCTCTGACAGCTGAAACGAAGTGTTTTTACATAGGAGCTTCTAAGCCAGAGAGTCTAAATCAACCTACCGAAGCGCCAGAGAATCTCAACAGACGAAATTAAGGGTCAGGAAGTTTCTATTGACTATATTTTTACAGGACTTTCAAAGCCATAAACATGGATTTTTTAAAGAATATTTGGAAACACATATTAAGGGCATCGACGTGTACTTTTTAAAGAATATTTACAAACACTTATTAAGGGCATCGACGTGGATTTTTAAAGAATATTTTCACAGGACTCTCAAAGCCATAAACGTGGATTTTTTAAAGAATATTTTCACACGACTCTCAAAACCATAAACGTGGATTTTTTAAAGAAAATTTTCACAGGACTCTCAAAGCCACAAACGTGGATTTTTTAAAGAAAATTTTCACAGGACTCTCAAAGCCACAAACGTGGATTTTTTAAAGAATATTTTCACACGACTCTCAAAGCCATAAACGTGGATGTTTTAAACAA